TCTATTAATGTTGTATCACTTAAACCTCCCCAAAGGTACTACCATCTAGGGAACTAATGTTCAAATGCCTGAATCTATGGAGGACATTTGTCATTCAAATCATCACAATTGTTGTTGTGCAAACACCATAATAGTAACATTCCTATGGTAGATGTGCCATGATAATATTAACATCCTTATGATAGAAGTACCATGGTTACTAATATAGTCATTGGGATGATTGTGCCCTAATTTTGAGAATTGAATTGTAGGAAATATTTTTGAAGTTTTCTATCTGAATTTAGCTGACACACACACACACATGTAGGCAGAGACAGTTCATTCATTTCCCAGCTGCCCAAACCTGAATAATTACACAGAAACTATATTAAATGGAACACTTTTTTGCCTATTAGCTCAAGCTTCTTATTAACTAACTCTCACATCTTAAATTAACCCATTTCTGTTAATCTGTGTATCACCACGAGGCTGTGTCCTACTGGTAAATGTTCTGGGGCATCTGTCTCCTTCAGCAACTACATGGTGTCTCCCTGACTCTGCGTACTTTCTCTCTATATCTCTGTTTGGATTCCCTGCCTGGTTTTGCTTTACTAAGCCATTGGCCAAAACACAGCTTCTTAAATAGCCAATGTTAATAAAAGATATTCATAGCATATAAAGGGGTATTCCACATCAAATATATATATATATATATATATATATACGCATATATATATATATATGTCTCCGCGTGTGTGTATGTATGTATACATACATACATATATCTAGCACACCAGAATGTGTAATGGGTTAAATTATGAGAAAACTGGAAGAACAAATTTTACAGAGCAATATAGCATTGTACCAATCACCAACCAAGTAGAGACAATAATACACTCTAAATCATTGTTTTCATTTAAAGCAACTTACGCTTGTCACACTCCATTTATCAGTTAGGATTTTCCTTTCCTCCTTAGCCCAGAAGTTTATGTTTTCAACTCTTAGATCCCATCTATTTCCCTTAGCCTGGTTACTCTTGGTAAGCTTCTTCTTCAAGGATATCCGGGAGAGTCGGGATCTGAGTGCACATCTTTTTCTTTCTCTTTTTTTCTCTGCTCCTTTCCAATGTGGTTGGAAGGGTCTCTTAATGATCCTGAAGAAATGGGCAGTCCTCATTCATATCTGTGAATTATCAGTGATATTCTTTCATAGCAATTACATTGTCTTTTGATATAGGACTTTTCATTCAGTTTGTCATTGCTTTTACAAAATTATAGAATAAACCACATCAAAGAACATGAGTTGATCTTTGGTAACATAACATTTGAAGATGTTTCAATCTCTAGAGAGCTATCTTGTCTGCTTTGTAGGAGGGAGATATAATGGAAGGTTGTGGTAGAGCAAAATTCCTCACTTCTTATTCATCTGGAAGCTAATCGACTCAGGAAAGGGTCAGAGACAAAAGGTAAACTTCAAAAATCCCCCCAAGCGCTTTCTCCAAGTAGACCTCAGATCCTAGTATCTTATAAAATATGAACTCATTAATGAGGTTAGCAAATTCACATACCAACCACTACTCAGCAGTGCCCCCATCTGGACATTAATCCTCCAGCATATGGGTCCTCTTCTAGGGCATATCTATTCAAACTCCAACATTTGGTTTCTCAGTAACTTATTAAAAGCTACCATACTGTGAATTTGCTGTGAATTTCTCCCACTACCCTGTTTAGCATTTGAAGTGTTATTGTTTTTTTACTTAATTAAATAACCACTTTTCACTAGCAAAAATATTTTTATATTAAATTTTCCTTATTCAAATTGCTGTTGTGCTTTATTTTGCCTGAACTCTCATTGATTCAAGTGGATAAATAAAGGTTGTTTCTCCAGAAACAATTGTCAAGATTTCATTTGATGGAGGTTTTGTTAGCTAAGGTCTGCAGTTATTTCTTTTACATGGTCTTTTTTTTTATCTTCTACAATTTTTATTTTCAGAAACTGCACTTTTATTTTCAGAATGTCATTCTGTCCCAAGAAATACCTCCAACAACAACAAAAATGGAAAAACATTTCTTCCATTTTCATAAGGTTTTATGTCGGCTGATCTTAGACTCATCTGAAACTTAAGTTGGGAATGATCAGATACAAACCACTAATCTGTCACTCAAAATGAATTTAATCTTTTTTTAGAAATCTGTTGTATTTAATAAATAACCACATATATAAAAGTGTCTATATCCAAATAGTATATCTGAATTAAATTCTGTATCAGAAAGTTGTTTGGATGTAACGACTGTTAGTTTCTCATACTCAGGAAGTGCTAATAAGAATTGTTAATTGGCAGTGTAGCACATTCTGGAATCCTAGTATTTGAAGTTTTAAAGAACAGAAAACTGAGCTTCAAGCCTCATTGAATTACATAGTAATTTCCTGCCTCAAGGAAAACTAAAATACACTACACTAAAATAAACTAAAATAAACACAACTCATGTTTCAGAAATCAGAAGTAAGCCTGCCTTCTTCATTATTAGTTGCATCAGCCTGGTCCTGGGGCCATTTGAAGCCCTCGGCTAAATTCTACAGTTTTGATTGTAAGTGGGAAGGGAAACTTATCAGGAGTGCTTGCCTTTCTATGTCCCAGGAATGCTTGGATTTTCTAATCTGGTCCTTTTCCCTTCTTTCCCCTTTAAGTCTTCACCCTCTGTCCCATTGTCATTAGACTCCCAATCAAACTGCTGGAAACAGAAAATTGTATTCCCTGACTCTAGCAATTAAATAAGAAAGAGAGGATTTGCCACTTTTACTTGTTAATGCTGAGCCCCTTCAGAAAACATGGCCAATCTAATGTGTTCCTTTCCTTCTCATGTACTGCTGCTGACTGAAATGGATACTGAAGTTTAAGAAGGTCTTGGGATGGTATTGTTGTTGTTGTTGGTGGTGGTGTGTGTACAAGCCACCAGGCAACATGCATATGGAGATCAGATAAAAACTTTTCTCATCTAGCCATCTAACCATATAGGACTTGGAAATCAACCTTGGGAAGAATACCTTAGCCTGATTAACCTGATAATCATGTTGTTGTCCCCTTAAGCTAGCTCTTAATACATCCAAAGATCCCTGGAACTTTTCCAAATAAAACAACATGACATTTTCTGAAAGTTTTATAAAAGGTCTACATTGGAATAAAACGGTTGTAAAAAGGACTTTCAGTATAATCATGCATGGACCATGTTTGCAGAATCAAATCACTTTTTTTAAAAAAAGTTTCATTCATACTAAAAAAAAACCCTAATAATTATTCTAATCAGATTTTCTCTAAAGGGAAAACAAGCCATAGATTATAAAATCCCTGATAAAAGTTGATTCCAGTAAAAGAAGGTCATGCTTAATGCCAAAGACTATCCTGCTGAACAGAACAATTTTACAACTGTAAGAAGATTAATAGAAGATAGCCATCGATAGAATCTAGGATGGAAAAGTACAACTAAAGTAGAAAATACCATATGTCTTCCAATTTCATGTTCAGTAATGAAATTAGGAGGGTGTCTAAGGTGCCACCTCACAATATCCAGGTGGAACAGGCATATGCTACATTTCCTGTCTATATATTTCCATGCTCTTGTCATCTAAGACCACAAATAAACTTTTATTGTCACATATGTACAACGTTTATTGTTGGAGTAAGCACTTGGTATCATAATAAACCTTTTAATACTTATTTAATTGGTCTCTGGATAAATTTTTAAGGGTTGTAAGTTTAAAAATGTATCTATAAAATGAAAACTTAAGGTATCACATTGGCTGTTAGTTATTGAAAAATTTCTCAGGCTTACTTATTTTTCCTATTGATTAAATGTCTAAATACACTTCTTCACTTTCATAGCTAAGGAGATTTGTGAATCCAAATTTAGATATTCCTGAACACAAAGACCACATAATTTATACTATGCAATTTTTATTTAAGAAATAAATTTTTGTAAACTACAATGCCCATGAAAATAGAACACACTGCAGTGAGTTTGTACTATTTATGTTGTTAATTTTATTAAAAGTTTAAGGTAATATACAAAGCAATGAATTTTATCATGGTATCTACATACAAACAGCATTATTCTTTTTTCTAGTAGTTATTATACCACATATGTTAACTATGCATACAAAGGCTTTGAATACTTGTTTGTATTCCATGCATATTAGTTTGTGTGTATACTTAATTTGTGAAGACTATGCATATTATTGTTATATTTTTCATTACTTTATAAGCATGAATATGCTATTCAAAATCAGAGAGGAGGGCATTCAAGGATAACATCTGTCCTATTGGCAATTCCTTCCCTACTTCACAGTTTAGACTTTTAATTACTTTTGGACCCAGCACTTCAGAGACAGACTGAACTTATGAGTAATCTTTTTCTCTTTCTTGGTTTGTAAAATTAACTGACTTCCAAATCAAAGTAACGACAACCATGTTTTTCAAAAGTTAAACAAGCATGATTCTGCATTTCCACTATTGCCTCAAGCCCCTTTTATGATAAGTCGTAATTGGAACAAGACAGATACCACTTGCAATCTTCCTTCCATAGATATACATCATGTGGCTGAATGCCACCCCACCTCCTGCCTGCCTAAGTTTCTTGCCTGGTAACGTGATTTCTTTCTTAATAAGGATTCAATAAGTCAACAGTTTCCTTATTGTAAAACTGGCTCAGGTTCCTTTTACTAGAAACCTGATTTTATTATGAATTTTATTATCAATTAAGTTCTTGTATCTTTAAAAAAATGGAGTCTTCTGATGGGAAATTGCTTGCCTATCTATCAATATTTGATCTTGCCATCTTTTTATTTGTTTGTTTTGGTTGTTTTTGTTTTTCAAGACAGGGTTTCTCTGCATAACAGTCCTAATAGTCCTGGCTGTACTGAAACTCACTTTGTAGACCAGCTTGGCCTGGAACTCACAGAGAACTACCTGCCTCTGCCTCCTGAGTGCTGAGAGTAAAGGTGTGTGACACCACTAACTGGTCAACTAAAAACAGTGGTTGAATGTCACGAAGCAGTTGACAATGCCTTAACCTTATGTGTGTTTTTAGCCCAAGGGCCTCTTCCATTTTTGTTAAGGGGAGTGCTAACCTCTGTCTTTTAATACAATACTGATTTCATCATCTTAAGTGTCTTATTTAATATATATATATATATGTATAATATATACATATATAGGCATGTTTTTAAAAAAATGAGTTATTTCATCCTAATAAGTTATACCATAGAATAGATATCTGCATTTATTTTAGCTTAAATATAGGTTTTACAACCTTGAAAGAAATAAGATTCACTGATAAAATACAAATTTATTAAAAGAATGCAAAACAAGAAACTTCAGGTGGTATCTCTTAAATTCTATGGAAATTCAAAAGAAAAAAATGAAAGACTAAAATCAAAAATACCTAGAAATATTTAAGCACCCATTAAACAATTGTAAAAAATTCAAGGACTAGTCACATTAAAAATAAAAAGAACTGTAGGTTGGTTATCCTTGGCTTTATGTTTATAATCATTTATAAGTGAGTACATACCACGTTTGTCTTTCTCGTTCTGGGTTATTTCATTCAAGATGGTTCTTTATATTTCCCAGTTTCATCCATTTGCCAGCAAATTTGAAGATGTCATTTTTTTTTTTTTTACCACTGAGTGGTACTCCATTGTGTAAATGAACCACATTTTTTATATCCATTTTTCAGTTGAGGGGCATCTAGGTTGTTTCCAGGTTCTGGCTATTACAAATAATGCTGCTATGAGCATAGTTGACCAAATGTCCTTGAGGTATGTGTCTGCATCATTTGGGTATAAGGATACCCAACACATCTACCCACTAAAGAAATTTTGAAAATCTGAAACTACGTCACTAGCTCATGCCTAGATACTGGTAATGACTATGAGGCAAATAATCTCTGTTTCTATCTTTGTGGACTGAGTTGTATGTGCTAATTTTTCTTACTTCATTCAATTTTGCTGTTTGTAGGTGTAATTGGTGATTAATGCATGCATTTAAACTAAAAAAATGAGACTTTTTAAAATTGTTTTACTTCAAAATTACTAATTTATAGCTATATATGCAAGATATACATGTTGTAGGAGGCTGCTTGTTCATTCACCAACTGCCTGGCTGCTCAGACCCGAAATAATCACACAGAAACTAAATTGTGAAATACTGTTTGGGCAACAGATTAAGCATATTTCTGGCTAACTCTTACATCTTAACTTAACCCATCTCTATTATATATGCATCACCACCTACAAACAACAAAATTCTTTGACCATAAACAGTATATTCTTATTTTCATTAAAAACAACCTGACTTTCTGATATTTGTTTCTAAGGAACTGAAAATACAGCTATTAATATTAAATTAAACAATAAGTAACAAATATAATTTAGTATTGAAGAAGTATTTTCTGCCTCCAGAGAATAAGCAACTGTTCAGCTAAAGCATTAACTGTTATCAAAATTGTGGATGATATCCCAAGTTCTTTTGTCATTTCTCAGACCTCCATGGGGTAAAAAAAAGTGCACTGACTGACTCATGCCCAGTGGGAAATGCATTACTCCTACACAGTTTTTCTTAAGCCAGACAAACTCCGCTAAATAATGTTTTTTTTTTATTTAAAAAGTCTTCAGTATTCCCTAGGCCTGCACTCATAGAAATGTAATTGCACAATGTTACAAATGTTCAGAGAAAATGCTTTTTGGTGGTGTTTTTAATTCTTAATTTCATAGGGTAAATCAGGTTTGGACAAGTTTTCTGCACTTCTGGTATATGAAAATGGTTCTGCACAGAGTAAATTCTCTTGAAAAATACAGCTATTTCCTTCACTCATACATCTGCAGAAATAAATAATTTAGATAAAATAAATAAAGTTGTCTACTGAGTTTTACAGTTCCAATTTCTGAACCATTTCCATTTTTATTTGTTTGAGATAGGCAGAATAATATAGAAGAAAATAAAGAAGTGGTAAGACCACCAAATAATAGTAATATCATATGAAGTATTTATAAAATTAATAGGAAGAAAACCAGAATCCAAGATAAGGACACACAGAAACGAAGAAAAAGCAGGAAAGTGAGAATACAATGATTTAAAAATGTAAAACATATAACTACATTCATTAAGAAGCAGAACACATGCCCACACTCCTCAATAATGATGAAAATTTCTCTAACGTTTTTGATGTATAATTTACCAACACCTAAAATTTTTATTTGTAGATGTATTTTTTACTTTTTGGAGGTCTGTCACCCAGTTCCCAGATAAATACACAGAGACTTATTCTTACTTATCAAGGCCCGACCTTAACTTGACTTGTTTCTAGCCAACTTTTCTTAAATTATCCCATCTGCCTTTACCTCTGGGCTTTTATCTTTATTTATTCTATATTGGTCATTTGGATCTTTATTAGACCAGTCAGGTGTTTTAGGCATTCAAAATAACACAGCTTTACAAAGTTAAACAAAAGCAACATGAGAAATGCAGCACATCTTTCCATCATTAAACAAATATTCCACAGCATAAAATAATGTAACACATCTTTAACTAATATGCCACAACATTTATAATATCTTTTTTACTATATCCTGACAAGAAAGCTATTGTAATAAAAACTCATATCATATATAGAAACTTACTTTAAAAGGTTTACTCATATTAATTGTAATAATACTAGAAATAATTCATTTATTAAGTTTTGTTTGTTGAATAAGTAAATATTATTTGAAATATTATGAGGTTTCAAAGTATATGAGAAGAATTTGGTGGCACAAGACATTTCCTTTTTAGTCAACTAACTACCCCATCTCTGAAAATTCATGAATAATATCAACTTTCCTACAGACTGACCTGCAATCTGAGGGATGCTAAATGAAAGAAAGGCAGAACCTACAACCAACCGAGGGATTGAAAACTATGATTAGTGGGAATTTGTTTTCTCCCATAACCACAAACATCTTGACATAATAAATTAATTGCCTGTAATATTTCTGGACTTTAACCTAAATGATTAGAATTTGTTCAAGGCACTAATATGGAAAAAATGTCCATGCAACTTGTTTAACCAGTCATTCTAAAATGTGAACCGTATTTTTAATTAATACATGGGATTTGGAATAAAGTAATTTGTATTTTACTTTGCAATTAATCTTCAATTGTTAAACACTTCAAGAGAGAAAGCACCAGTATATTTTTGGCCAAGTGAGTAAGTAATATCAATGGATCCAGAACATGGTACTAAGTACTACTAGACCTGAAAAGAGTTGTTTTAGAGAAAATCTTGAGGGATTTTTTTTTAATTTCCACCTCCTCCCATCCTCCCATTTCCCTCCCACTCCCCCCATTATTCCTCCCCCTCACTCTCCAGTCCTAAGAAAAGTCAGGGTGCCCTGCCTTGTGGGAAGTCGAAGGCCCCCCTCCTCCAGGTCTAGGAAGGTGTGCATCCAAACAGACTAGGCTCCCCAAAAGCCAGTACATGCAGTAGAATCAAAATCCAGTGTCATTATCATTATCAGGTGTCCATAGGTAAATAAATTTATGTCTGAGTCTTCAGTTTGATTCCATTTATCAATCTGTATTTGTATCAATACTATACCATTTTTATTACTATAGCACTGCATTATAACTAGAAATTGAGAATAGTGAGGCCTCCAGCAGTTCTTTAATTGTTCATGGTTGTTTGAACTGTATTGAGATTTTGTTTTTCCATATGAAGTTGAGAATTGTCCTTTAAAGGTCTGTGAAAAATTGTTGGAATTTGATGGGAATTGCTTTGAATCTGTAGATTGCTTTTGACCACTTCTACTATGTTAAGCCTACCAATCTGTGAGTATGGGAGATCTTTTCACATTCTGATATCTTCTTCAATTCCTTTCCTGAAACACTTAACATTTTTTCACTGTACATATTTTTCTCTTGCTTGGTTAGAGTTTCCCCAAGATTTTTGAGGCTGTTGTGAAAGGTGTTGTTTCCTTGATTTCTTTCTCAGTTCATTTGACATTGTATATATGATGGTTATTTTTTAAATTATATTTGTAAGTTTATCTTGTATCCAATTACTTTGCTGAAAGTGCTTATCAGTTGTAATTCTTCTGTGTGGAATTTTTCCTGTAATTCATATCTACTATTATATCATCTACTAATAAAGATACTTTGACTTTTTCCTTTTCAGTTTGTATCCACTTGATTTCTTTCAGTTGTCTTATTGCTCGAGCTAAAATTCCATGTTCTAAACTGTATAGGTATAGAAACAGTAGACGGCCTGTTCTTATTCTTTATTTTAGTGAAATTTCATTGATTTTTCTCTCTATTAAATTTGATGTTGGTTATAGGCTCAGTGTAAATTGTCTTTATTATTTTTGTATCACTAACTTTTCTGGACTTTTATTATGAAGGATATTGGATTTTTTCAAAGGCCTTTTCTTTATCTACTGAAATGATCAAGTGTTCTTTTCCTTTCAGTTTGTTTATAAGCTGAATTACATTTATTGATTTTTGAACCATCCCTGCATCTCTAGGGTGAAGCATACATGAGCATGGTGTATGACCTTTTTATGTATTCTTGGATTTGGTTTGCAAGTATTTTATTTAGTACTTTTGGGTCTGCGTACATAAGGAAATTGGTCTGAAATTCTCTTTCTTTGTTGGGTATTTATGCAGTTTTGTTATCAGGATAATTATGGCCTTAAAAATGAATTGGACAATATTATTTCTATTTCTATTTTCTGGAATAATTTAAAGAGTAGTGACATTAAGTGTGATAGAACTCTGTGATAAAACCATCTGGTCCTGTTTTTTTTTTTTTTTTTGTTTGGTTGGTTTTGTTGTTAGGAGACTATTAATGACTGCTTCTATTTTACATGGGATTTTAAGTCTACCTAGTTGTTTATTTGATCTTGATTTAATTTTGGTAAGTAGTAACCATTTCTTTTATATTTTAGAATTTGGTGGAATACAGGTTTTTAAAGTATGTCTTTACAATTCTCTGAATTTCTTGGTGTCTATTATTATTCCACCACCACCCCTCTTCATTTCTGATTTTGCTACTCTGGATATTCTCTCTTTGCCTTTTAGTTAATTTGGACAAGGATTTTTCATCTTATTAATTTTC